GGTCGCCAGAGGCCAGGGCCCGCTCCACCGTAACTAGGTTGTCTTGTTTTTCTGTCCTTTGGCCCTGGTCCCCTTTCTGCCTGCACCAGCCGCTGAGGGCAGACACAGGCTCCCACTTCATTTGCATCCTGAGCCTTGGAGGGAGAAGCCTGAGGCTCCTCCCTCAACCACAGTGAGTGAAACAGATAAGCAGGTTCCCACAGGGCCCTTGGGAATGGCTGGAGGTGGGGTCTCCAGCTCAGAGGTACTGTGCATCACCACCTGTCCCCCTCAGGGGCCAAGACCAGGCTGTGGCTTGTCCGTGGGTCTGACCCGCATGGCAAGGTGCCGTCTGTGTGGGCTTTTCCAACGGTTCGGCCCCTGGCTGGGTTCCAGCATGATGCCTTGATCAGCACGGCAGGCCCCTGGGAAGGATGTAGACCAGTCCAAAACTCTGCATCTCCCTCCCATGGAGTCACGGGAAAGTCACTCAGCCTGAGCCTGTTTGTCCATCTGGGGAACAGGGACCATCATAGTACCCACATCACAGGGTCCTTGTGAGGTGTGACAGAAACGTGCATGAGGGACCACAAACCACCCTGCAAATACCCGTGCGTTTACTCATTGCACAAAAACGCTGAGCAGACGGACTGAGCGCCAAGCCACATGCCGAGAGCACAGACCCGCCAGGAGCCCCTTGGCCGCAAGGTCAGCCCTGACCGGAGCGTGGGAGCCGCTCGGAGGCCTGTGCGCTGGGCCAGCAGCAAGCTGCCTCGTCGCAAAGGTTCACACTTCAGGCGTCTCCCCACGAAGAAACATCCTAACCATTCTCCCCGTAAAGGGAGGGCGGAACCCCGGACAGGACACTGCTCTCCAAGAGTGGCCTCTCTGCACAGGCAGGAAAGATGGAGGCTGCGGGGGGACTGCCCTGGGCTGCACACAGTCGGAGGTTTGTTCAAACCAGATGCTGGGTGACCGCACAGAGCCGCTTGCAGGGAAGGGCTCCCCCCGAAAACGTCTCTCATTTCCTTCTCCATGGAATACCCAGACA